AAAACTAGAAATCAGCAACAAGGAACAAGGAAAAGAAATAAAATACATGGAAACTAAATACTGCCTAACTTAAAAACTATTGGGTCATACAATAAATCAAATGTGAAATTAAAAAATACTTAGAATCAAATGAGAATGAAAACAAAACATACCAAAACCTTTGGGACACAGCAAAAGCAGTTCTCAGAGGTAAATTTAGCAATAAATGTATACATCCAAAAAGAAGAAAGGTCCAAAAGCAATAACCTGACAACTTGAACAAACAGAAAAGGAAGAGCAAAAAAGGTCCATAGTTACCAGAAGAAAGGACATGACAAAGATCGGAGCAGAAATAAATAAAATAGAAAACAGACAAACAATAGAAAGAATCAAAAAGACTAGAAGTTGGTTCTTTGAGAGGATCAATAAAACTGACAAACCACTGACCAAAGTGACAAAGGAAAAAAATTAGAACATGCAAATAACCAAAATAAGAAATGAAATGGGTGAAAGGGTGACATTACAATAGAACCAACTGACATAAAGAAGATCATAAAAGACTATTATGAAAAATTGTATTCCAGCAAATGTGAAAACCTAGACGAAATGGACAAATTTCTAGAAACACATTGCCTACCTAGACTGATAGAAATAGAGGTAGAAAATCTGAACAGACCCATAACAAAAGAAGTTGAAGATGACATTAAAAACAAAAACAAAACCTCTCAACAAAATAGAAAGTCGTGGCCAAGACTGTTCTGACTAGGGACACAATAGAAGGTCCCAGATAGAATGGGTGGAAAATGTAGAACAAATACAAATTCCTAAAAGAGGCCAGACTTATTGACTGATAGAGATTAGAAGAACCCCTGAGACTGTTGCCCTAAGCTACCCTTTGAACTTGGAACTGAAGCTACTCCTGGAGGTCACCTTTCAGCCAAATAATAAATTGGCTTATAAAACAAACAATATTAACTGTGAGTAATGTGCTCCCTTAAACAATCAACTATCAGAGATCAAATGGTCAACATTTACCCAAAAGCAAAGATGAAAAGACAAAGAGAGGAAGGGAAGCTAAATTAATGAAAACAGAGCAAACAGAATGGAAATAATGAGAATGTTGACACATTGTGAAAATTGTAACCAATGTCATGAAACAATTTGTATTAAAATTGTTAAATGGGAACCTAATTTTCTGTGTAAACTGTCACCTAAAACACAATAAAATATTTTTTTAAAAATAAATAAATAAAGACAGGAAAGAAAGAAAAGACCATAATGGATGTCAGAAGAAACTCTGAAACTTGCTCCTGAACATAGAGTAGCTAAAGTGAACAGAAAAAACATGAAGTAAAAGAGCTGAACAGAAGATTTCAAAGGGAGCTTGAGAAGACAAAGTAAAATATTATAATAAAATGTGCAAAGACCTGGAGTTAGAAAACCAAAAGGGAAGAACACGCTCAGCATTTCTCAAGCTGAAAGAACTGAAGAAAAAAATTCAAGCTTCTAGTTGCAATATTGAATGATTCTTTGGGCAAAAGCATCAAAAGAAGATGGAAGGAATACACAGTCACTGCACCAAAAAGAATTCGGCAACATTCAGCTATTTCAGGAGGAAGCACATGCTCAAGAACTGATGATACTGAAGGAAAAAGTCCAAGCTGCACTGAAGGCACTGTTGGAAAACAAGGCTCCAGGAATTGATGGAATACCAACTGAGATGTTTCAACGAAGGAGGCAACACTGGAAGTGCTCACTCGTCCATGCCAAGTAATTTGGAAGACAGCTACCTGGCCAACCAACTGGAGGAGATCCATATTTCTGCCCATTCCAAAGAAAGATGATCCAACAGAATGTGGAAATTATCAAGCAATATCATTAATATCACAAGCAAGTAAAATTTTATTGAAGATAATTCAGAAACAGCTGCAGTAGTATATCAGAAATTCAAGCTGAATTCAGAAGAGGACATGGAACGAGGGATATCACTGCTGATATCAGATGGATCCTGGCTGAAAACAGAGAATACAAGAAAGATGTTTATCTGTGTTTTATTGACTACGAAAAGGCATTCGATTTTGGGGATCAGAACAAATTATGGATAACATTGCGAAGAATGGGAATTCCAGAGCACTAAATTGTGCTCATGAGGAACCTGTACATAGATCAAGAGGCAGTCATTTGAACAGAACAAGGGGATACTGCGTGGTTCAAAATCGGAAAGGTGTGTATCATGCTTGTATCCTTTCACCATACTTATTCAATCTGAATGCTGAGCAAATCCAAGAAGCTGGACTATGTGAGGAAGAATACAGCATAAGGATTGGAGGAAGACTAATTAACAACCTGCATTATACATATGACACAACTTTGCTTGCCGACAGTGAAGAGGACTTGAAGCACTTACTGATGAAGATCAAAGACCACAGCCTTCAGTATGGAATACATCTCATCATAAAGAAAACAAAAATCCTCACAACTGGACCAATAAGCAATATCATGGTAAATGGAGAAAATATTGAAGTTGTCAAGGATTTCGTTTTACTTGCATCCACAGTCAACACCTATGGAAGCAGCAGTCAAAAAAATCAAATGACCCATTGCCCTGGGCAAATCTGCTGCAAAAAAAAACCTCTTTCAAGTACTAAAAAGCAAAGATGTCACTTTGAGGACTAAGGTGCACTTGACCTAAATCATGGTATTTTCAGTCACCTTATATGTATGCAAAACCTGGACAATGAATAAGGAAGACCAAAGAAGAATTAATGCATTTGAATTATGGTGTTGGCAAAGAATTTTGAATATACCGTGGACTGCCAGAAAAATGAACAAATCTGTCTGGGAAGAAGTACAGCCAGAATGCTCCTTAGAAGTGAGGATGCCAAGACTTTGTCTTATGTATTTTGGCCATGTTATCAGGAGGGACCAGTCCCTGGAGAAGGACATCATACGTGGTAAAATAGAGGGTCAGTGAAAAAGAGGAAGATACTCAACAGGATGGATGAACACAGTGGCTGCAACAATGTGCTCAAACATAGCAACGATTGTGAGGATGGCACAGTGTTTTGTTCTGTTGTACATAGATAGGGTTGCTATGAGTCGGAACCTACTCGATGGCATCTAACAACAGCAGAACTCATGACATATGTTAAATATAAAAGGTCTCTGAGTGGTGCAAATGGTATGCCCTTGACTACTAACCTAAACATTGGTAGTTCAAATTCACCTCGAGGCATGGCAGAAGAAAGGCCTGGTGTTCTGCTTCCATAAAGACCATAGCCAAGAAAATTCTACGGAGCAGCTCTACTCTATTATAATACATGGGGTCACCGTGAGTAATCAACTCAATTGGCAATGGGTTTGTGTTTTTTTGGTATTAAAAAAAATTTTTTTTACAGCACAATCATGTCTAATTTTAAATCAGAAATGAATGTCTCCCAAAGCTCCTCATAAAAAGATACAGCATAATAAAAAAAACTAAGTCAATAATATCCTTATAAAAGATGCATTGCCAGTGTTGAATCAGCTTTGTAAAGGAGGTTTTACCTGGGGCAGGAAGCAATAGAATTCACTCTAGGTATCTGATTCTGTTGATTCCACTTAATGAGGCTCTATTTGGAATAAATGGATCACATATCATTTATGGAATTTTCCACACTTGTTTAGTCTCCTGATTAGATTTTCAACAGATATTGAAAAACACTGGGTTTGAAACTAAACTCCCAGGTATCATTTGAGGCAAACTTCTTCCATGTTGCCCATTTAACTCTTCTGTACTTATTAGGGAACTTGGCACTCCACAAAAGCGTTCTCAACATCGACGGCAGCTTAGCTCTAATCAGAACAATATGATGAGAAATCACTGTTTTAACTAGCTTTGCTTTTTTGGAGAAAGGATGTATGTTGGGTCAGTAACTGGGGAGGGACTGGAGAATACACAAGCATTATTTAAATACTTAGAAGTTATTATTTTAATCTCGATTCACAATCAATCAAAATCACATTACTTATAACAGCCGAAAAGTAGAAACAGTTCAAATGTAGGTCACTGATGAATGGATGAACAAAATGTGTTCTATCTACATAATGGAATATTATTTGGCAATAAAAAGGAAAGACATACAGATACCTGTTGCAACAGAAATAGATCTTGAAAATATTATGTTGAGTGAAATAATCCAGGTACAAAAGGCCACATATTGTATAATACCATTTACATGAAATATCTAGAATAGGCAGAATAGGTAGATGAGTGGCTGCCGAGGGCTAGCAGGGCAGGAGATGACTGTTAATTGGTATGGGCTTTTATTTTGGAATGATGACAGTTCTCTAAAGTACTTAGTAGTGATAGTTGCACTACAAAGTGCATATAATAAAAACCACTGAATTGTATACTTTAAAGGGCAAGTTTTATGGCATGTGAATGATATCTCAATAAAGCTTTTATAAATGCGAAACAATAAAATCAATATGCATTCTTTTTTATGAACAGACTTGAGAAGTCTTAAATGTACTTGAAAAATTAGATACTTAAAAATATTTTTATTATGGAAATTTTCAACCACCTACAAAAGTAGAGAGAATGGTTTAATGGACCTGAATGTATCCATCACCCAGCTTCAATAGTTATCAACACATGACAGATCTTGTCTCATCTGCACCCTACCCACCACGTTTTACTCTACTGGATTGTTTTGAAATAAATCCACAGTATCATAATGTTTCACCTGTATGTACTTCCACATACGTCTCAAAGTAAAGAAACCTTTTCAAAGTCAGCACAATACCATTATTATATCTTAAAAATTTAGCAATTCCTTAATATCATCAAATGTTCATGAGTGTTCTAATTTCCCTAACAACAGTCTTGTGTTTAATTTGCAACTGATTTGTTTGCATGGATCCAAACAAGGTACACACATTGTATTGGGCTGTCTCAATATATGTTTTATTGTTGATACACTTTCCCTTTTGTGAAAATTCTTCTGACAACATAAATGTGTGCTTCTTTTCCTTCTTAGGTCTTAAAAATGAGCTATAACAAAGTCCGAAAACTTCAGAAAGATACTTTTTATGGCCTCAGGAGCTTGACGCGGTTGCATATGGACCACAACAATATTGAGTTTATAAACCCAGAGGTTTTTTATGGACTCACCTTTCTCCGACTGGTGCATTTGGAAGGAAATCAGCTGACTAAGCTCCATCCAGATACATTTGTCTCTCTTCGCTACCTCCAGATATTTAAAACATCTTTCATTAAGTACTTGTACTTGTCTGACAACTTCCTGACCTCCCTCCCTCAAGAGATGGTCTCCTATATGCCCAGTCTGGAAAGCCTTTATCTTCATGGAAACCCATGGACCTGTGATTGCCATTTACAATGGTTGTCTGACTGGATACAGGAGAAGCCAGGTATCTGTGCTGTTTATTTCTTTGTCTTAACAAAAGTGAAGGAGCCCTGGGGGTGCAGTGGTTAAGAGCTTAGCTGCTAACCAAAAGGTCAGCAGTTCAAATCCACCAGCCGCTCCTTGGCGACCCTATGGTTCTACTCTGTCCTATAGGGTTGCTATGAGTCGGAATCAACTTGACAGCAAGGGGTTAGGTTTAGGTTAATGAAATTGAGGAGATCTACCTGGAGGTGTTTATCAGTAAGTGGAGAGGCCAAGGTAATTTAGCTGGAGAGGAAAATCAAGTCTATATAATAATTCAGTAATAATGAATGCTCTTTATTCATTAATGAGATAGTCATTCAATGTTTTGGGTCAACTATTCGGTCATATATCCTGGCTCTTGGCAAAACTGGGAAATAAGAAATGTGTATGTTGCTCTTCACTGAATCACCATGAGCAATGAAAACTTTCCCTCTTCTCATCCCCTTTCAGCCGTTCAGCCAGTACAGAATATCAATACGTATTGTTTCCTGTAGCTGTATCCCAGATCTTGTGCTAGAGGTGGGAATACCAAGAGCACCAACTCTGCTGTAATCAAGCACTCAGTGGGGTTACAGATAAGCAAACAGACATGAAGAGTGTGAAATGTGCTCTGACGGGGAAAGCGGAAGTGCCAGGAATAGCGCAAGAGCCATTCAGCCAACAGACACTCAATGTAAACCTACAATGTGCCAGGGGCCTGTAGAACCTGGGAATCCAAAAACGAACAAAACAGATGAAGATGCCTGCTTTTGTAGAGCTTACATTCTTATGAGGGAAATGGGTGGCTGGTGGATTTGAACTGCTGACCTTTTGATTAGCAGCTGAGCTCTTAACCAGTGTGCCACCAGGGCTCCTCCTCTGCATAGGTCTAGACTGTAACATTTGCTGAAGTTAAGAATGCTGAGTAGCCAGATCTCTGTGACGTCACCTGTGAAGTACAACCGAGAGTTTGGATCGTTGGTCAGAGGGACTTTCTTCAGTGTTTGAGAGGAATTGTGTTGGGACAATGGTGTGACCCTGTCCGGCCACTCTAGCAAATGAGATCTTCTGAGAAGTACTATGAGGGCAATGGTGGTTTAGCGCTAGAATTCTCACCTTCTGTGCTGGAGAACTAGGTTTGATTCCTGGCCAATGCATCTCATGCACAGCCACCACGTGTCTGTTAGTGAAGGCTTGTGTTGCTATGATGCTGAACAGGTTTTAGCAGAGCTTCCAGACTAAGGCAGACTAGGAAGAAAGGCATGGTGATCTACTTCTGAAGATCAGCCAGTGAAAACCCTACGGATCACAATTGTCAGATCCCCAACCAATTGTGGGGGTGGCATCAGGCTGGGCAAGAGTTCAGTTCCATTGTGCATGGTGTTGCCATGAGTTGGAGGCCGACTTGCTGGCAGCTAACAATAACAACGAGCACTACACTTCTCTTAAATGTTGTGTCCATTGCATGATATGGGAGCTACAACATGAATAGCATGAAAATCCCAGGATGCATTTTATGTAAGCTAAAACTCTATACCTCTTAGTACGTATCTTGGTGACCAGGATTTTAAATAGGCTTATAGGAGCAATATTTTAGAAATGACCAGATATGTGATATCCGAATACCTGGAAGATAAGGCTTCTATGATTTGGAAGGATTTAGGCTGGTCCCAGTGCATAAGACTTGTATGTTTATGACTTTACCAGAATGCCAGACCTTTAGTGGGATGCCCCATTGCTTGGGGACCACCGTTCTCCGCTCCTCATCAAACCTGGCCCTCCTCCAGGAAGCCTGCCTCAGTCAACGGCACCATCAATCATCTCATTACCAAAGTCATAAAGCTTCCTTGACTCGCCCTCTCAGTTACTCTCCATATTCGACTACACCTTACCTCCTGCTGGTTGTTTCTATCTGCTGCTTTATCTCCCGCATCTGTTTCTCTCCATTCCTCTTGCTCCTAACCTAGACCAGGTCAGGCCATCCTGGCTGAAACGTAGCAACAGCATCCTGACTTCTACATCTCCTGTGTCCCAGTGGCATCACTAGGGTTGGTGTCACCCAGTGTGGTTACTCATGGTGTCACCCTTGCATGCTATTTACCATAATGTTGGTGCTAAACCACCAGAAAGCTTGACAAAATCAGCGACTATGAAATACCGCCAAGCAATGAAAACAACAGCGCGTGCTTGGAGCGTGTACAGATGAAACCATGTGATTCGAAGCGTCGTTGTAATTCGGTAATAATGACAGCTCTGTCCAGAGTGCATGAGAAGGTTCAAAAAGTAAATTAGCATAGAGTTTCAGCCTTGTAGGTATATTGATCCATGTAAGCTGGGCTTATGAGAATTGTTTTTGTTGTACCTACAGGGATATTTTTATAGAAAATAACAAATTTCTGCTAAAACAGTGCACAAAAATTTTATAAACAGTCACTTTGGTGTCACGCCCTCTGACAGTGTCACCCGATGTGGACCACACCCCCCTGCACCCCTCTAGTGACACCACTGCTATGTCCATCTTGTTCTTCACTCTAATTTTTCTCCATTCTGTGTCCAGAGTGGTCTATCTCAAATGCAAATCTGACCAGCCCATTCCTTTTTAAAACCTTTGAGTGACGTCCACCCACCAGGAGGATAAAATAACCCAAGCTCTGCTATGTGGTACCTAAGGGTCTTCACAAGCTGCGCCTTGATTACTTTACCTCGCCTCCTTCCCTTCCCTGGAATCCCTTGTTCACACCTCTGGGTCTTAACATATGAAGCCCGTCTGCTGTAATCCCTATGCTCCCCTTAATCCTGCTTATTCACATTCAAAAGTAACCCCAGTGAGGTACAGGACATAGTATCACGGACTCAGTAATCAGACAGGCTGGGCTCTGCCACATGTAGTCTGTGTCGACTTGGGTTTGAAACCCCTTGTCGTCGGTTTCCTTGTCTGTAAAGAGGGGAAATGGTACTTACTGCAGCAGGTTGTTCTGAGGTGAGAGAATGGGTACCCACCAGTCACGTAATCGGCCTTCCACAGAACCAGCTGAGCTGCGTAATTCAATTATGATTTTTCCTGGATTTAACAAAACACAAAAGCAAAACAAAATAAAATAAAAAAGACACCAGTCCCTCTCTTCCAGTCCTGCCTTTCAGAATTTTAACCAGGAATTTTCTCCTCCTAGAAGATTTTCATGCTCTCTGTCCCCAGAGTCTGAGCTGGGCACCTGTCCTTGTGATTCCCTTAATTACAGAGCTTGTAATTGCCTGTCTCACTCATGAAATCGTAAATTCCGCGGGAATTCAGATGGTGTCACGGAGCTCGGCACAGAGCAGGCTCAAAGGGATTGGAAGAATGAATGAGTGAATGAAGCACTGTAGCGGTGCAAACTCGAGGAATTCCTGATTTCCATTTTTTTTTTCTTATTTTACAGTAACTGTACATTTTTATTGTATCAATTTTTTTATTTTTTCCTATACAAAAATTTATACATACATTGTTATGTGACTCTAATTGCTTTCCCCATACTGTGACAGCACACTCCTCCTTTCCGCCCCTGATTCCCCATGTCCATTCAACCAGCTCCTAACCCTTCTCACCTCTGGACAGAAGCTGCCCGTTTAGTCTCTTGTATCTACTTGAGCAATATTGTATCAACTTTGTTTTGTTTGTTTCACTCACCTGGGCTGATCACCAAAAAAGAAAATCAACTAAATAGGAATTTATCGTGATAATCTGTCACTGCAACCAAGTAAAGCATCTACATTATTTTAAAGAATAATAAAAAGAGCATATGAAGTTAATCCTATCTTTGAAAATCACACAGACATTCAAGACAATATCAATTAATTTAACATTGCAATGTTATGATTAACCAGATGAAAGACTACATATGTTGGCTGTGTGGTTATGATACCACAGAAAATGATCCTACTAACTGTGCATGAAATTATCATCCACTTTAAAAATAATTTTCTTTCAAGATAATGGAAAGAAACGTGGGATTTTTAAAATGATATTTAAGCACTTGTAAATGATCATTTATCAAACAGCTTATCTTTCAAAGGAGAGTGAAGTTTTATGATTGTCTCAAAACATTAAAATGAAGAAATAGAACTAAACTGCTGTTAATGAAGAGTGACAAACGTAAGCATGTCGTTTTGTTTACCTAGAAAAGGAAACAATTCATTCACCTAATATTTACTGAATACCAAAGATATGTGAGGTACTTTCTAGGCATAGGACATAGAGGAGTGAACAAGAGAGACAAAATCCTCATACTTATAGCATGGAGCCCTGGTGACACAGTGGTTAAGAGCTTGGCTGCTAACCAAAAGGACTGCAGTTCGAATCCACCAGCCGCTCCTTGGAAAGAAACCCTATGGGGCAGTTCTGCTCTGTCCTATAGGGTTGCTCTGAGTCAGAATCGACTTGACAGCAATGGGTTAATGGGTTACGGATATTATAAACTAGTTGCCGCTGAGTGGGTTCTGACTAGTCCCTGGAGAGTGTATATGGTTGACGTGCTCGGCTACTAACCAAAAGATTGGAGTTTCGACTCCACTCAGAGGCACCTCAGAAGAAAGGTCTGGTGATCTACTTCTGAAAAAAAAAAAAAAGCTGTTGAAAACTCTGTGGAGGAGCACAGTTCTACTCTGACACACATTGGGTCACCATGAGTCAGAATCAACTTCACGGCAACTGTTTTTTTATGGAGATTATATTGTAGCATGGTGTGTAGAAAATATATTTTTCTAAGAAATCAATTGAAAGACAAAAAATGTGAAGAACTTTCTATTAAACGTGAAAATTTCCAACTTGTTGTTTCAAATTCTAGCAAAAGCTATTTCTTCAAAATGTCCAAACGTTAATTCATCTAGAAGCCACAACTGGTTATAATTCAATTGTGCTTTTTCCTAGATGTAATAAAATGCAAAAGAGACAGAAGTCCCTCCAGTCCTCAGCAATGCCCACTTTGCATGAACCCCAGGGCCACCAAAGGCAAGTCCTTTGCCATGGTCCCAGCTGCAGCTTTCCTATGTACCAAGCCCACTATTGACCCATCCCTGAAGCTTAAGAGCCTGACCATTCTGGAAGACAGTGGTTCTGCCTCCATCTCCCCACAAGATTTCATGGCACCCTTTGGCTCCCTCACCTTGAATATGACAGACCAGTCTGGAAATGAAGCTAACGTGGTCTGCAGTATCCAGAAGCCTTCAAGGACATCATCCATTTTGTTCATTGAAGAAAATGACTACATCATGTTAAACATGTCGTTTTCCACATTTATGGTATGTGACGTAGATTACAGCCGCATTCAGCCAGTGTGGCAAGTTCTAGCTTTGTACAGTGATTCTCCTCTGATACTGGAAAGGAGCCATTTGATCACTGAAACACCACAGCTCTGTTACAAATATAAACAGGTGGTTTCTAAGCCTGAAGACGTTTTCACCAACATAGAAGCTGATCTCAGAACAGATCCCTCTTGGTTAATGCAAGACCGAATTTCCTTGCAACTAAACAGAACTGCTACCACACTCAGTACATTGCATATCCACTACTCAAGTGATGCTCAAGTCACTTTACCGAGGACAGAGACGAGGCCAGTGAGGCACAAATGGACCATAATTCCAAGGGATAACAATACTAAGCTGGAACGCACTGTTTTGGTTGGTGGGACCACTGAACTGGACTGCCCAGGCCAAGGAGACCCCACTCCACATTTGGAGTGGCTTCTAGCTGATGGGAGTAAAGTGAGAGCTCCTTATGTTAGTGAGGATGGACGAATCCTAATAGACAAAAGTGGAAAATTGGAACTCCAGATGGCTGATAGTTTTGACACAGGCGTATACCACTGCATAAGCACCAGTTACGATGATGCAGATCTTCTCACCTACAGGATAACTGTGGTAGAGCCCTCTGTGGAAGCCCACCATGAAAATGGGGCTCATCACACAGCTTTCATTGGTGAAACACTTGAGCTTCCATGTCATTCTACTGGTATCCCAGATGCCTCTGTTAGCTGGGTTCTTCCCGGAAACACTGTGCTCTCTCAGTCCTCAAGAGACAAGCAAATTCTTAACAATGGCACATTAAGAATATTACAGGTCACCCGAAAAGACCAGGGTCATTATCAGTGTGTAGCAGCCAACCCATCAGGGGTTGATCTTTTGATTTTCCAAGTTTCAGTCAAAATAAAAGGACAAAAGCCAGGGGAGCACGATGGGGAAGCAGATGGCTCTGGACTTGATGAACCCAATACCGTTGCTCACCCCAAGGAGCCACCAGCTGTGCACCTCCCTACATCTGCTCTGATAGAGGCTGAGGTTGGAAAACAAGTATCAAGCACAAGTAAGAAGCACAACTATCGGGAGTTAATACACCGGCAACGTGCAGATTCGACAAATCGACGTTTCAGGGAGCACAGGAGGCAGTTTCCTCCCTCTGCTCGGAGAATTGACCCGCAACGTTGGGCAGTGCTTTTGGAGAAAGCTAAGAAGAATGTTGCCCCAGAGAAACGAGCAAATAGCACAGTACAGCCGACTCCACTGGTCACCCAGCTCCTGAAACTACCTGGTGAGGAAGAAGAAAGCTCAGCTGTGTTCCCTCCAGGTGAGGAACTTACGGTTCTGGCAACTAGAGCTCCAGCTGTTCCAGCAAGGGCAGTTACTGCTAATTCCAGAACAATATCCGATAGCCCTGTGATGGGTATAATAACTTCTGGCGCTGAAGCCTCCCCAGTTGTGAGTCCACAAATACTACCACCTGAAAACCCTATGGATTTCAACCTATATACTGCTGTTAAAACTACAGCCATGCCAATGAATCTAAATCCAACCACATCAACTAAAATGCAAGACACAACCAACCAAAACTTACACACTATCTTACCTCTACTATCTGAAGCAACTGAACTTCAGGACATGGACCAGATGGGGAGAGGAAGAGAGCCTTTCCCAAGTACATCTCCAATAACAGTGGGGACTATGATCCACGATGTCAATATCAAAATGCTTGGCAATGCTAACAGCAAAGCTGGTGTATTCTTAGTGTCGGTCAATACAACGAATGGTCATCACACATCTGGGACAGCAGTCAGTGAACCCAGGAGCAATCACATCTACTCTCAGACGCCTGAAAAACTTAGCACCTCTGTGCTCCCTACCAATTCATATGCTCCTGCCAATTCTCAGGTACAGATTCCTAGAAATAGTGCAACTAACACTGCACTCTCCAGACGCTTTGGGAGACGGAGGAAAATTTGGGGCAGGGGGCGAATAATCAGCCCGTACAGAACTCCAGTTCTTGGACGGCATAGACAGAGCTTTGTGAGAGCAAGATCCCGAGGTTCTTCTGAAGACAGCACCACTGCGTTTTCAGCCACAGAGCACAGTGCGATGTGCCCATTCTGTTCGCCCAGAGAGAGGCTCGCCCCTGCTACAGCAGCGCTGTCTCTTCCAAGTTCTTCCTCGGCCACCTTCCTCCAAGCTGGTATCGCCACAGCCACATCAGAAGACTCTACAACTTCACTCCAGAATCCACCATTGCTATCTGACAACAAACCAAATGTACACATTGAGAAAACAACACCCACAATAAAATATTCCAGTGCTGAAAGTATCCAAGTGACTCCAACTGGTGTGGGCAGGACTCATGCCCCAATATCCGTATATATGGAAAAAACTCATTTAATGAATACTGGTTACCCAGATGTGCTTAGCACCCGTGAAACAAAAAGAGATTCATTGATTATATCGCCACTTTCAGACCCCATCACCAAGCCATCTATGCCTAGTACTACCGCCATTACAAGACTTTCAAGAAGGAAAATTCCCTGGCATCACATCTTTGCCAATAACTATATCCAGAAAGAGTGGTTAAAAAATCTGCATAAATTTGGTTCACAAAAAAGCACAGCCACAGTCCCTCCAAAAATACCTCCTGCTTTACCCACAGATAAAGTTTCCCCCTTCCATTTAACAACACTTTCAGCAAGTGTGATGCAAATTCGACCTGTAACATTGGCTACAACTCACCACCATACCACTGAAGCACACAGTCCTAGAAGTCTCCCAGCGACAAAGGAGCGGACCTTCCCACCCCTTTACTCTACAGTTGCTAGTATCGCGAGCAAAGAATCACATACAACAAACTTCATATCAGCACAAGCAACCACACTGACAGCTCCTCCTACTGCCTCTGCATCTATCATTATCAGTAAAATCCAAACAGCCAGACCTGGGCCACAAAAAGTACAAAGACAAAAGGAACCCCAGAAGAACAGGAATGACCCAATCATCTCTCTAGGACAGAGTTCTGGCTTCACCACATCCACTGTTACGGCACCTCCTGTTCTAACCACAGTTGAAGCTTCAACCAAGTCCAGTGGCTCTGCTTTCACCCATTCTCCCCTAGAAAATCCAAAAGGAATCCCAAGCACAATTGGTCTCCATTCGAGAACTCTTAATCGGACAGATGTAATTGAAGAACTCCGCCAAGAGAATACTCAGGCTTTGAAGAGCACAGCTGCTTCTGAGACACCTTCGTCTCGCGGCCAACACCAGAGTACCCCAAGCAGGAACACAATCATCAGACACACAACCGTGCCACCATTCCTGAGCAGTCCTGCCACTCCAAAGCCAATTCCCACCCCTCCCTTTACTCCAAGTGCAGTTACTGACAGTGTGGCAACTCCCACTTTCAGGATGATGGCCAATACAATGGACGAGCCGTCTGAGTCCTCAAGGCAGGATGCTAATTCACACCAGGAAGCAGCAGAGGCTGCAACGTCTCCCAAAGTTCACCCGAATGCCAAGTTCACAATCGGAACCACCTACTTCATCTCCTCTGATGAGTTACGTTCTACTCCTGTGCCAGCACTGAGCACAGCGAAACCACAGAGTTCTAAACGGACTCCCACTCCCTGGTCAGAAAACCAATTTTGGCACAAGTCATACCCAGAAATTGCTGACAAAGGCAAAGAACCAACAGGAAGCATGTTGACCCCTCTCAACGTGCCAGAGGACACCACTCCTGCATCAAACTGGGATGGACGGAAGACTGCAGAGAAGACTGGCTTTGAGAAGACACACGCTAAAAAAATAAGCACTTCTGAATTCCTTCCCTTTGACTCGTTGCCTCGGAATGCGTTTGAAAAGCCCAGAATAGTTGGAGGGAAAGCTGCAAGTTTTACGGTTCCTGCTAACTCAGATGCCTTTCTTCCCTGTGAAGCCGTGGGAACCCCCCTGCCCACCATCCACTGGACCAGAGTCTCATCAGGTATTTGAAACGGTTTCATTTCACTGAGTGTTCTTTAGCCATAAAACAAGGAAAAGATTGCATTATGTTTCCAGGTCACATGTCCAAAGAATCAACACCTGTTTCAAATTTCTCCCAAGATACAGAAACTATTGGCATTCTCATTTGACACTGGCATTTTTTGCCCATTACAATGTTTTAAAGCATGTATTAACGTTTTTTTAAATGCTTTGAAAGCAGACCCAAAGCAATATGGTTTGAAAAAGAGAGAATGATCGTTGTGTTGCCTCATCTGGCTTTCAGATTATAAGTACAGGCAGTCCCTGGTTACAGCTTGCACTTGATAATGGACTGCCATAAAGCCTATTGTATTAAAGCTTTGATACAATAACAAACGCAGGTACTACTTTGTGATACTCATGAAACATTGGAAGTGTTTCTTAAGTGTTTGCTATGCGTAGAAAGGTAAAATGCCTACTATATCCTAAGACAAACATGTGACTGACATGAAGTAAGAACCGTATGTACCAGTTCTGACTTTACCTACAAATTTGACTTAACCCGGGGACTGCCTGTATGTGAATAAAAAATTCCAGGAATAATTTTAGTCATCTGAGGACTAGGTGTCCGAATTTTATTTTTTAATATGTTTATTCTCAGCAGCCTAACAAAAAGATAGCTTTCCTCTTGAGATTATCACTTGAACAAGTTATATTTTTTAACTAAACTTGGATGGCTTATGACTATACATTTCTTTCTTCTTATCAGGACTTGGTTTTTCTAAAAGGAAACACAACAGCCGCTTCCAGGTTCTCCTCAATGGTACACTGTTCATCCAAAGGGTAGACATTCAGGACCGCGGACAGTACCTGTGCTCTGCTTCCAATCCTTTCGGCACCGACTACCTTCATGTCACTCTATCCGTGGTTTCCTATCCCCCCAGGATCCTGGAGAGACGGATCAAAGAGATCACAGTTCATTCCGGAAGCACTGTTGAATTAAAGTGCAGAGCTGAAGGGAGGCCGAGCCCTATGATTTCCTGGATTCTGGCCAACAAAACAGTGGTCTTAGAAACATCTAAAGGAAGCAGCCAGGCTCTGGTGAAATTGGATGGAACACTGGTTATCCGCAATCTCAGCGTTTATGACCGCGGCTCTTACAAATGCACGGCCAGCAACCCAGCTGGCCAGGACTCACTGCTGGTTAAAATACAAGTCATCGCAGCCCCACCTGTTATTCTAGAACAAAAAAGGCAAGTCCTTGTAGGGACTTGGGGTGAAAGTGTGCGACTCCCCTGTACTGCAGAAGGAACTCCTCAGCCCAGTGTTCACTGGGTCCTCTCTGACGGCACTGAAGTGAAACCCCTGCAGTTTATCAATCCCAAGGTGTTCTTATTTTCAAATGGAACGCTGTATGTTAGAAACATAGCCTCTTCAGACAGGGGCACTTATGAGTGCATTGCTACCAGCTCCACCGGCTCGGAGAGAAGGGTGGTAATGCTTACGGTGGAAGAGCGAGAGACCATTCCCAGGATAGAAGCTGCATCCCAGAAATGGACAGAGGTGAATTTTGGGGACAAGTTACTACTGAACTGCTCAGCTACTGGAGAACCCAAGCCCAAAATAATGTGGCGGTTACCGTCCAAGGCTGTCATAGACCAGTGGCACAGGTAAACTCATGTCTTCGTGTTGGGATTATATTTTTTATCTATTTAGGTATACAGCTTCTGAAATGGAAAAAGCTATACACTGAGGCTAACAGCAATTTTAGAGGACCCACAGATTCTATACATAAAGGCAACTCTTTCCAAAGAGAGCCAACCCTTTTGATATCATCTGGGGTATAAAAACCAAGTTTGTTTTTTTTTTAACATGATTAAGGGTCAACTCCTACTGAGTTTATAGAACTAGAAGCAGTATAAAAGTCTCATTTGCCTCCATACTTGTGGCCGTTGTAAAAATGGTAACTGTATTCATATTCTCTCTTTCCAACACAGAGTCGGGAATTGCTGGAATGCAGTCAGGGCTCTGGTGGGACACACTCCATTACTTCATTCTTTAGAGTTTCCTATTAAACACTTTAAACTTTAGTTTCAGAATTTATATCAGAATATAAATTCTTTTTCCATAAAATTGCAAAGCTCTTTATGAGAGTAACAACATTAAGACCTTCACATGGCTGAATGTATTCAGGACCTCCACCACCTTAATGGACACATATATACACATTGTCTTAGTCATCTAGTGCTACTACAGCAGAAATACCACAAGTGGATGGCTTTCACAAAGAGAAATTTATTTCTTCACAGTAAAGCAGGCTAAAAGTCCAAATTCAGGGCATCAGCTCCAGGGGAAGGCTTTCTCTGTCAGCCTTCTCATCAATGTTCCCCCTGACCAGGAGCTTCTCGGCGCAGGGACCCCGGTCCAAAGGACCCGCTCTGCTCCCGGCACTGCTTTCTTGATGGTATGAGGTTCCCAGTTCTCTGCTTGCTTCCCTTCCCTTTTATCTCTTGTAAGGTAAAAGGTGGTGCAGGCCATACCCTTGGGAAACTCCCTTTACATTGCATCAGGGATGTGACCTGGGTAAGGGTGGTGTTACAATCCCACCCTAATCCTCTTTAACATAAAATTACAATCACAAAATGGAGGCCAACCACACAATTCTGGGAATCGTGGCCCAGCCAAATTGATACCTTTTTTGGGGGACGTAATTCAAACCATGACACACATATCCATGTTCTCTAGTGGGCTCTTATAGACGTCTGAACACTCATTGTATGGGTGGTTTTCATGGCACAGTGGTTAAGAGCTACAGCTGCTAACCAAAAGGTCGGCAGTTTGAATCCACCAGGGGCTCCTTGGAAACCCGATGGGGCAGTTCTACTGTGTCCTATAGGGTGGCTAGGAGTCAGAGTCGACTTGACAGCAATGGGTTTTTTCTGCATAGATATAATCTTATCTTTTAAAAGCAATAATTATAGCTTCTAAAAAAACCAGTTGCTGTCAAATTGATTCACTCATCATGACCCCATGTGTGTCAGAGTAGAACTGTCCTCCATAAGGTTTCCAATGGCTGGTTTTTCAAAGTAGGTCACCAGGCCTTTCTTCCAGGTTGCCTCTGGGTGGATGGACTCGAAGTTCCAACCTTTTGGTTAGCAGCTGAGTGCGCTAACCATTTTTACCAGCCAGAGACTCCAATTATAGCTTATTTAAGAGTTATCAGTTTTGGCATCTGCATGACTTTATGCAGTGATTGTTCATAAAATACCAGGAAAAAAAAGATGAGGACGGGCATTTCCATTTTATATATTTGTTAATTAATTAGTGGAAAATATTCATGCAGAAAAAGTTACACATAGTAGATAAGAATTTCTACTCGTGCTAAAAGTTGAAGAGTAGACATTTTAGTGTTAAAACGAGTTGCTATTGCATGCAGTTAGTGAATTCCCCTTGTGATCTTTAATTCAAAAGTAAATGTTAGTTTTCGAGTTTTTCAAATAATAGCAAAGTCATCAAAACTACCTGCGTGGAATGTTAAATTGAATTTATTTAGATTTAAAAATAAAAATTGCCCTTAGGAGATATGAACTTTAGAGATCACACACTTATGTTTGTTATCCTCTAACACATCTATCCATGTTTGGCATCAAATCTTTGCAAAACTTTATTGGTTACTGTATTTAATTTCATCATAACAGCATGTCATTTTTTTTGGCCTTCGAGGAATTGTAAGCATTTCATTAATACTGAATGCCAGTTCTGTTTTCTGAAATCAATGCATTTAAAATAAATGCCACAGCTCAGAGGTATGATTTTCATTTACACGGAGATTGCGCATTATACTGCGTAATGAGAATACAGTTTTCACTACCCATGCAGAAACCAGTGCAAGAAGGATAGAAGGCATCACACTTGTGATGGGAGTAACAGGTAAAGTTCAAGATTTAGGTTGTAAGGACAAGGTCACAAACATTTACAGTAAGCCCATTTTAGAAAATGTAAATCTTTCATCAGGAGTTAGGAAAAAGTTTAAGGGAATATCTGAAAAAATTAATCCAAAGGAAGTCTGGAAAGTGTTCTAAAACACGTTATTCCTACCTCAGAATGAGTCCTGACCAGGTATTCCTGCAAGGAAATGAGGCAGGTTGTTTATATTTTGTTTTGGGAAAATACGAAGCATAGAAAGATCGTTCATGTGGCAGAAGAGGGAGCAAAGCGTGTAAGATCGCAGATGCCACTTTAATGATTCTTTTGGAAGTAACCTACTCAAAAAGGCAAGAATATTTTTACTTATATGCTTTAGATATTTCAACTGAAAGAAAAGGGTACTTCTCCTGCAATCATAATAAAAGACCTCACTGTTGTCTCTTCTTAGCTTTAGAAGTTTGCATTTAGATTCTAAAAATTAAAAAAACTTTCACCATAGCTCTGCTGATCCAAGTCCACTCCACAATGCCCCCCCTCACAAAAAAAAACTTTTAGTTTCTTAAAATCTGCTTGTCATTGTCCAAAAAGCCTTTCTTGATATTTTTTAATGGTGCAGACACAGTGTTACTAATCTACATCCACAGCTTTCAATTTGACTTACGCAACTTATCTTGCAGTACACAATTGTATTTTCTCTCCTCTGGGATCTTGCTCTTGCCCGGAGCCCTGGTGGCACAAGTGGTTGAGAACTCGGCTGCTAACTGAAAGGTCAGAGTTCAAATCCACCAGCCGCTCCTTGGAAACCCTGTGGGGCAATTAGTTCTACTCTGTCCAGTAGGATCACTATGAGTTGGAATCGGCTCGACGGCAACGGAGTCTTGCTGGTCACAACCTGGGAGTTTGTTCCAGGGGCAGAAGTCAGGCCCCACCCCAGGCCTGCTGTACGGGAATCTGCAGGATGAAAAGATCCCCAGGTGACTCGTATGCATGTTAAAGCCTGAGAATTACTGCGTTGGAAAGCCATAGCCGCTTCCCGATGCATAATCTTTATAAAGTATTTCATTTCTTTTATTCAGAGAAAAGGTCTGCTTTCAAAAGTAAATTCTCTCTCTTGAAAAGAAACAGGTATAGTTATGTTTCTATTTTATAGACAGTGAAACCTGTGACAGTCGGAACTCAACGGGACTGCCCCGTTTCTCCGGGTCTCGTAAAGTTTTCTGCCTTTGACAAGTTTCCGCCTTACGCGGGTTCTACCTTTTGCAGGTTTCACTGTATTACAACCTCCAGTGGCACAAGATTTTGGGGGGAAGGCCACTGTAACTTAAGTGGTTCTCAAAGTGTAGTACCGACCAGTAGCATTATTAGCATTGTCTGGGAACTCCAGTCAGAAACTCTCTCTGTTTTAACAAACGACCTGTGTTCTTAAGGGCCCTGCAGGTAAACTTTAAGACTGGGTCTCAAACTTAATTATGCATAAAAGTCAGCTGAGGGAGATTGCTAAAAATGTGACTTCCCAGATCCTAGGCCAGGCCTACTGAATCCAAATATCTGGAAGGTGAAACCAGAAAATACGTATCTTAAGTAAGGCCCCATGTGATTCTGATGCAGGTTAACGGGAACGGCATTACGATCCAAGCTTCGCAACCGTGTTGCTGCATGTTAAGAGTCACCTGGCAAACTTTAAAAATCCTGATGCCTCGGCCAGATGCCACACCAGTTAAATGAGAAATTCTGGAGTGGGACCCAGGCATCAGTAGTACGCTAAACACCACAGGTGATTTTAATGAGCACCCAAATTTGAGAATCAGTGTTTTTAGAGCGTTAGGAAAGAACAGCAGGTGGCAGTGTCCAAACCAAAACCCGTTGTCGCCGAGTCGATTCCGAGTCATAGCAACCCTATAGGACAGAGCAGAACTGCCCCATAGGGTTTCCAAGGAGTGGCTGGTGGATTCAAACTGCTGACCTTTTGGTGAGCAGCCGAGCTTTTAACCACTGCGCCACCAGGGTTTCTGGTGGCGGTGTAGCACAATGAAAAAGATAGGGTTTGGGAACCAGACTGAAGTCGGGCTATTACACCTTTCTGAATATCAGTTTTCATCTGTACAATAGGTAACTACAGATTTAAAGACTAACGCAAAGCACCTGGCGGTTTCCATGCCTTTCATTAAGTGCATCCATTATGACGATCTTCCCTGACTTCATGCCAGAGGAGTCTGGTGGTGTAGTGGTGAAGAGCTACAGCATGCTACAGTTGCTAGCCAAAAGGTCAGCAGTTCAAATCCACCAGCTGCTCCTTGGAAACCCTATGGGGCAGTCCTACTCTGTCCTATAAGGTCGCTATGAGTCAGAATCGACTGGATGGCAATGGGTTTAGCTTTGGTTATACGCCAGAAGGAGCCCTGGTGGCACAGTGGTTAAGAACTCAACTGCTAACCAAGAGGCCAGTGGTTCTAATCCACTGGCTTTTCCTTGGAAGCCCGATGGGGCGGTTCTGCTCTGCCCTATGGGGTTGCTATGAGTCGGAATCAATTCGAAAACAACAGGTTTTGGTTACACGCCAGAGAAGTTCCTTTCACACTTGAGAAAAAACGACAAGAACACCAGCACCCTTTCAGAATGCTTCACTACAGTCTCTCCACGCTTCTTACGATTAGGTTACTGCAGAATAAAGATTGACTTAGGCTGCTTGACTGTCAGCAGGTATGCTGTGTAAGGTAGACGACACTTTTCTCAGTTTCACCTACCTGCTTAGGCTACGTCACCAAAAAACGATAGGAAACATACAGACATTTCGTTATGGGTGTTCTTGATCTCATTTTTACAACAATTTAATTTCCGCTGGTGTTTCTGAAGACCTAGATTTAGTTTTGCCAGTAAAGATCTTCCCTCCGGTGGCTAAACGCGGTTATGGCAGGTTGTATAGTGCGCGTGGAGTTCCTGGATGGTGCCAAGTGTTAACGTGCTCGGCTGTTAACCGAGGTTCCAGTCCACCCAGAGGCGCCACAGTCTGCTTCTGAAAACTCAGCCATTGAAAACCCTGTGGAGCACAGTTCTACACTGACACACAAGGGGTTGCCATGAGTCAGAGTCGATCCAACGGCATCTGGGTTTTTAGCGCATATTCTCTAGGGGAGAAAAACGTTCCACATAGTTCAACCCAACGCGGGGGCTTTACAGGGATCTGACAGCTGCACGCACAGGGCAGATGCTGCAGCAAGCTTCTAAAGTACCCTACACTGGCGTTAGCTCTCTTTATAACAAAGTGGAACCTGTCTTCTAACCTAATAATTCAATAACGTCTTTTAAAAAGTACAGGCAGTCCCCAGGTTACGGATGTCCGACTTACGGACAACTCGTACTTGTCCTTTAATGTTATGTGTCATTTCCCCTCACTCTGAAACTACTGGAAACCCTGGTGGCATAGTGCTTAAGTGCTACAGCTGCTAACTAAAAGGCTGGCAGCTCAAATCCACCAGCCGCTCCTTGTAAACCCTACGGGCTGGTTCTACTCTGGCCTATAGGGTCGCTGTGAGTCGGAATTGACTCGACGGCAATGGTTTTACAGTTTTTTGAAACTACTGACCCAACCCCTACACACAACAAATTCTTCCTCACAGTCACCTTCACTTGTTGCACGTGCAGCTTTTTAATCACTGAAAAGGCTTGCGCTAAACCAAAAACCAGACCCACTGCCGTCAAGTCGATTCCAACTCTTAGCGACTCTACAGGATAGAGTAGAACCACCCCATAGCGTTTCCAAGGAGCGGCTGGTGGATTTGAACCACTGACCTTTTGGTTAGCAGCCATAGCTCTTAACCACTGCACCACCAGGGCTCCCTTTCTTGCACTAAAGTGAGGCTAAGTAAGAACTGTATGCACCTGTCCGAGTTGACCTAACACTTCAGCTTATTTGATATGCGAAATGGCCAAGGAAGTCATGGTGTCTAGGGATCCAGTATTTCTAGAATTTCCCCATTAAAATGATTTTTTAAAAAAACTCCCTGTAAGGGAGACTCATTTGAAGTCCACCTGAGAATTACTGCTTGTTTGCACTAAATTATACCTATCATCAGATAATTTCATCTTTCAGCAAATGGCTTAGAAGACAGTAAATCAGCTAATATTGATTTTAATTTTCATTGCAATAGTTTGTGTCCATAAAGCTAATCTCATTTAAATAAAGATTTCTCCCCCTGCTAACAGCTACATACTCAAATCAGTCTCTTCTCACCTTAGAATGGGCAGCCGAATCCATGTCTACCCAAACGGATCGCTGTTTATTGCATCAATAACAGAAAAAGATGGTGGTGACTACTTGTGTGTTGCCAGAAACAAAATGGGGGACGATCTGATCTGGATGCACGTCATTCTACGCCTGAAGCCTGCCAAAATTGACCACAAGCAGCATTTTAATAAACAGGTGCTTCATGGGAAAGATTTCCAAGTTGATTGCAAGGCTTCTGGCTCCCCAGTGCCTGAAATATCTTGGAGTCTCCCCGATGGAACAATGATTAACAATGCAATGCAAGCAGATGACAGTGGCCATAGGACCCGGAGGTACATCCTTTTTGACAATGGAACCTTATACTTCAACAAAGTTGGGGTAGCAGAGGAAGGAGATTATACTTGCTATGCCCAGAACACCCTAGGGAAGGATGAGATGAAGGTCCACCTGACTGTGGTAACAGCTGCCCCACGGATAAGGCAAGCTTCTAAGACCTACATGAGAGTCGAGGCTGGAGACACAGCCGTCCTTGACTGTGAGGTCACTGGGGAACCCAAGCCAGGAATATTTTGGTTGCTGCCTTCCAATGACATGATTTCATTCTCCAACAACAGGTACACGTTTCATGCCAATGGGTCTTTATCCATCAGCAAAGTAAAACTGCTTGATTCTGGGGATTATGTGTGCGTAGCCCGAAATCCCAGTGGGGATGACACGAGAATGTACAAACTGGATGTTGTCTCCAAACCTCCATTAATCAATGGCCTGTATGCAAACAAAACTGTTATGAGAGCCACGGCCGTGAGGCATTCCAAGAAGCACTTTGACTGCAGAGCGGAAGGGTCACCAACTCCTCAGGTCAGGTGGATCATGCCAGACAATATTTTCCTCACAGCCCCATACTACGGGAGCAGAATCACAGTCCATGAAAATGGGACCTTGGAAATTAGGAATGTGCGGCTTTCTGATTCGGCCGATTTCATCTGCGTGGCTCGGAATGAAGGTGGAGAGAGTGTGTTGGTGGTGCAGTTAGAAGTACTGGAAATGCTGAGAAGACCGACATTCAGAAATCCATTCAATGAAAAAGTAGTTGCCCGCCTGGGCAAGCCCACAGCATTGAATTGCTCTGTTGACGGAAACCCAGCTCCGGAAATAATCTGGATTTTACCAAATGGCACACGCTTTTCCAGTGGATATCGCAATTCTCAGTTTCGGATTGCAAGCAATGGTTCTTTTATCATTTATAAAACAGCTCGAGAGGATGCAGGGAAGTATCGTTGTGCGGCAAGGAATAAAGTTGGCTACATTGAGAAATTAATCGTATTGGAAATCGGCCAGAAGCCAGTTATTCTTACTTACGCACTAGGGACGGTGAAGGGTATCAGTGGAGAATCTCTATCGCTGCATTGTGTGTCTGACGGAAGCCCTAAACCCAACATCAAATGGACTTTACCAAGTGGTCATGTAATAGACAGGCCCCAAACTAATGGGAAATACATATTGCATGAAAATGGCACCTTAGTCATCAAAGAAGCAACTGCTTATAACAGAGGAAACTATGTTTGTAAGGCTCAGAACAGTGTTGGCCACGCACTGGTCACTGTTCCGGTAATGATTGTAGCCTATCCTCCTCGAATTACAAACCGCCCGCCCAGGAGTATCCTCACAAGGACAGGAGCTGCGGTGCAGCTCCACTGTGTGGCCTTGGGAGTGCCCAAGCCAGAAGTCACGTGGGAGATGCCCGACCACTCCCTGCTGTCAACGGAGGGTAAAGGAAGGCCACATGGCAGTGAGCTGCTGCACCCACAGGGGACCATGGTCATTCAGAACCCTCAGACCTCGGACTCTGGGATTTACAAATGCATAGCAAGGAATCCGCTGGGGAGTGATTATGCAACAACTTATATTCAAGTAATCTGATATGAAATAAAGTGAAAAGACAGCACTGTATGAATAAAGCCAACATCTGGACAGAGCTTATTTTTTGGAAGAAGTTTAATCAAAGGCAGCCAGAGGCGTGTAAATGAACTTGAATACTTTTACAATACTCAATTTACAATGGACATGCAAAAAAAGACTTGTAAATAAATGCATTATGAACTGGTAACTGATTTCTTTAATGGATCTCAAAACAAATTGTTAACTTAAGGCACTTTTATTTTGCCAACAAATAACAATGAACATTGAGAGAAAACTATTGACCATAAAATAATAAATGGCTAGCGTACCTGAATTCTTCAGTAAAGAATGGACTTTTTTTTCTCTCTTTAGCTGTATCGCTTGCCTAGTGCTACCTTCTCTCACTGTTACAAGCATGACGCTCAGAGCAAAGACAATGGAAAAGATTAGATTTGCGGTCCTGGTGTAAATTTACCATGTTGATGTATAAATATCTTGTGGTTGGTTTATAAATACTTTACTAAAACCTACAGAAAATAAGCACTGGGCTGTTCTGATTATGATTCACCATTTGTTCATGCTGAAATTCGTCATTGGTGGGGAATACAAAAAAATGCTTTAATAACTGCATTGAAAAATACATGCAGCCTAATTTTTCTACACGTAAAAAGCAACTCAGCATCTGCACAACATAAAATGTGGAAAGGGGCTTGATTACATCTTTGTCCAAATACACCCATTAAAAAGCTTTTAAAAATACAACGAAACTTCTTTAGAACGTCAAAATCTAGTTGAGGGACCCCGGTCTGGAGCTATTTACCAGGAAAACGGAGGAACCACTGCTTCTTGAGCGTTTTTACTTTATTAAGCGGTAATTCTTTGTGCAAGGGAAAAGTGTTTGGGAGGGGCTAGATCCATTACATATATGAAATTTCACTGTATTTAAAATCTGAACAACCCCACATCAAATGTGGCTTTTTGTAATTCATTTATTTACATAACATGCTTAATTCAACCTGAATTAATTTGGTGGGGGGGAGCATTATATGCTTCATCTTTTTAATTCTAGAGGGTAGGATTTTTCCAGTGTAATTTTTTCAGCATCTATTCCAATAGTTGCCTATTATTTAAGAAGATTTATAGGAGCCTTAGTAAGGGTGGGGGGGAGAAGAAAATGCTGTTGGTCTTGCTCAGATCCCTCAGTAGACAGAACCGAGAGCTACTTTAGCGTTCACCGTGTGTCCTTCAGCTAGCCCTACGTATGAGGTGCCCTGATTACTACTCATCTCTTAGGGTGGTATCCTGTGGCTTCGAGACATTAAAGGATATTCTCATTCTGACCATGGTCTCCTTCTACCTCCTGGACAAAAGGAACAAATAACGTGACAAATGCAACCCAGTCAGGAAGGAGCCTCCAGCGTAAATAGGCATGTCAAGACTTCTTATGTCCAAGAATCACAATAGATGTACCTAACTCCCTTCGAATCCAAGGTCTTATCTTTAAGGGAGGCTGGGATCTATCTGATCCTAGGATGATGTCCTATCTCACCAAGCAAATTACCAGGTTCTGCCACAGGGTGAGGCTTTCACGTGTGAACATTTTAATGAAACTAATACATATGCTAGGGGAAAAAAAAGAAAAGACTGCTAATACATATGCTAGGGGAAAAAAAGAAAAGAAAGCAGTCTCTTAGGATAGAGGAAGAAACAGGATGAAACTAAGTCAAAATTCCAGTTTCTTTCTTTATAATTCACAGGGAAAAACCAGCTCTAGGCTTTTCCTCCACTTTCTATAGAATCTTGAAACTACAGGGACTTCCCATCACTTAGCTTCCTCATTTAAAAAAAAAAAGACACTATATATATATATATATATATATATATATATGTATATATACACACACCCCACAGCTGTCATGTGCAAAAGGATTAAGAAATTAACTTCTGCAAAATATAAAGTGCATACAAATGCTATGCAATTAGAACACTCACTCTTGAAACAGTATTACTGCTGTTTGCAATATTGAGCTACAAAAATACATGGTTTAAAATGAAAACTGGCATTTTAAATACCAGTAATTTTTGAGAAGGCAAAGAAGGAAAAAAAAAACAAAACCAAGGACAGGGCGGGACTCAGAGGCACAACTTTCCCATTGTGGTTGTTCTGCCCATGCAGTCATTGTAGGGACGTACTACTTGGATGAAAAATAATTTCATGAGCTCTTAAGTATACTTCACAAGAGAAACAAACCTGATACACACAACCAGTTGAAATGTAAAGACATCTTCTGAAAGCAGAATAGAGTTTGTTACTTTCGTGAAAAGAATGGTCTTTAATGTTTTGGCAAAGTCTTTTCCAGCCCAGAGTAAACACAGAAGGAGCAGGCTGGAGTAAAATGTGTTCACAGTGTACAAAGCAGTTCACGTGAGATGTTGCCACAGCAAAGTAAGCTGACATGTATTTGAGGTCGTTCGCATGAGTCAAACTTTGCAATGAGTAACTCACCTAGGAAGATACAAATTATATAATTTGCAAAATAAATTGTGTACTGAAGTTGTACTAGCTACATTTAAAAAAAGGAGTTGGACATGGTTTGCTCATTATAGACAGATCTATTCACAGTACGCTTAACTACATTACGTGTAAAATCAGATGGCAAAGGAAATGAATTTAATACAGAACATGGGAAAATTTCCCCACATATGTTTTAAAATGCCCTGCAATTTTCACATTCAAAATTTTATGCATCTAAACCTAAAAAAATATTATATGGAATACTCTTAAGTTACACAAACTGATAATAATTTACTGTATTTTTTTACTCTAATAGGAGCAAATTACCACATACTTGAACAAAGTTAAAATAGTTGCTATTTCTTTATAATAAATTTGATGTATAATTTACTTGTGCTTTTTGCACCAATTTATAAATACAGTATATGCAATACGCAGCCAAGACAGACACCAACAATAATTAAATTCAAAATAGCAAATACTTACCATACAAAATAAACAGCAAACAAATCATTTATGAAAACCAGAGCCTTCTGGACTTAGGGGCCAGATTTCTCTGGAAACCACGTCAAGTTTGAGCACTGTGGGAATCTCAGGCCAGCTGGGAGATTTTTTTTTCTCAAGTTGGCATTGAGGTTCAGGAGAACCAAAACTGAACAGTCATTTTTGCCAAATCTGGCAATAATGACGGGAATAATTCCACGGTGGTTCATTCGGGCCTTTACAACTTACGTTTTGTACTTTCATAAAGATTCTGGCCAGTGATCTCACCCTTGAAACCAAGCTGGAGTCTGGCTACTACTTCTAACAGGCTTCCACGCATCCTAAGTGATGCTTACAGGGGTGTTTAAAAGTGCTAAGCAACGATCCGTTTCAGCACCTTTTGACCACAATGAAAGCAAAGCAAAACAAAATCCTACTTAAATAAGAACAAAGTTTATAAAGTGCTTATGAAATTACAAACATTTCAAATTAAGGTGATGCAAATAAATGTCCATTTCACCATCACAGGTGGATAGAGAATAGATGGGTCAACTCTTCCATCAAGATCTGACCTGCCTTTCAAATCAGTAGTCTGGTCCGGCACAGTTTGGGGCGGGGGGGATCTTCATCATGAATGAGTGCATAAATATCTGAAATCTGCCATCATTCATTCTTTCTGTAAATAGGAGTCTCAAAAAAGCACCAATTTCAAAAAGGTCTGCTACCAAACTCTTCCTGCAGGGGGCCCGTAGGTTGATCCACACTTTTAAACCTACTTTGAAGTTGAATGCAACGCAACCATACAAAACTTCTCCTTTGCTTTTTTGTGGAAACGCCTTTGTATGAAATGTAGCGTAAAACAGAGGAAAGCTTCAGAGACATGAAAGAACAAAGGGACATTTCTAAGAATGACTAATGTGATAAATCTGGTTTTCTATTTTTCAGTGCAAACACAAAACTTCCTGTCTTCTCCTCTTCCAGATTCAGAAGTGTGAAGGATGCCCGTAGGGAGTTACTCCTTGCTGGGGCTGGTTACCTAATGAGAAAAACACACGCAGACAGAATTACAGACGCAAAAGATTGCCACAGGGACATGTCACCCTCTTGTCACTGTTCTCAGTCCCAGCTTCAGGTATAGGGGAAACACGCTGGCCAGGGAGTACAACCAGAGCCCCGAGAGATCCTAGTGACAGGGCCCAAAAACTGCCACTGAATTCATTCCATAGAGGGTCAGCTCTGCATCACAGACCCAAGTCTGCCAACACGAGGTCTGAGAATTAAATTCATTACATAGAGGGCCCAACTCTACATCACAGACCCACGTCTGCCAACACGAGGTCTGAGAATTCAGTTAACTGGCCCACCCACAGTCTCCACCTCTGAGCTAAGAAGCAACTCAGTACTAACACAAGGACGAAATGTTCCATAAAACATTCAAGCTCTCAAAATGTTCCTAGAAACAAGTCAGCAATTCTGTTTTAACTCTGACATAATAGATGAGACAGAAAGAAAGGCTGTCTTAGCTTGCGACTGGGTCATTTCTTGCAAACGGCCATAAGGTATATAAAAGAGAACTTTGAGAGAGTACATGCATGCACCAAAGTGTATGTTGTGAGAGTATGTGTGTTGACTCAAGTGTGTGTGCATGCATGTATTACACAGAGGAAAAAAACAGTCAGGACATATAAAAAAACAACACAGGGTTAGACAGTTACTGTTGGAACAACTCAGGTGGGACTATTCAAATCCAGAGACCCCATCTGCATGGGCTACATATATACAATTGGCACAGTGGTTAAGAGCTCAGCTGCTAACCAAAAGGTCGGCAGTTCGAATCCACCAGCTGATCCTTGGAAACCCTATGGGGCAGTTCTACTATGTCCAATAGGATTGCTATGAATTGGAATCACTCAATGGCAACAGACATATATATGAATATATATGTAAGTACAGAGGAGCCCTCTGGAGTTGGGCAGCTCAGCTTATACTATCGTTAAGAGGTGGGCTCTGGAAGGCAATGATCTGAGTTTAAGTCCTAGCTTCACCCCTTACTGTTAGCTAAGTGGCCTTGGGCAAATAATTTAGAGTCCCCGTTCTTGGGTTGTTTGCTCATCTATAAAATGGGAATAGAAATAATACCTAACCTCAGAGGGTGGCTTCAGAATGAAGTGAATTGATAAATAAAAAGTCACAGTGCCTGGATC